GAGAGCACGAACTTGATGGCTCCGCGATCCGCACTGTCTTGCGAAGCGATGCGCTGCGTACGCGCTGTTTGGCCAACCATCCATGCTCCCGTCTGCTCACACTGTGCACGTGCTGTGGACCAAGTGTCAAGTGAGTGGGAGTGTGCGCTGAGCGTCAGGCATGGCCGAGTTTTGCGAGCGCGTGGTGTAGGAATTTTTGACCCTTGCGACTCTCTGGCCACAAACTTGGGCCCACGCACCTATCTTGCGATCCACTCACTGTCCGCCGCCTTGTCGAGCAATCTGCTTTTCGCGTACTTACATCCCAAGTCCAAGTCTGTGTGACTTTCGCAGAGGCGCACTGGTATACTCTCGCCTACTTGCGCCGACATTGCACACGACACACGGCGTCGTGTCTGACACTTATCGGCGAAACATCAAGACATGAATCCAACAAAACAGTGGGCGGGCGCAGGGCCGACACAGTGCCTGTTTGGACGCTGGGCGGTACTCGGGATCAGCCTGTGTGTCGAGGGCGGGCCTCCACTCAACTTCCTTGATGGTGACCATGTATAGGAAGACGAAGTGGGCGTGACTAGCCGCAGCGGGTCGGATGGCCAACTCACGTCGAGGTGTTGATGCGAGGAGCTAGAGCGAGCAAGCTGTGCAGTGCGTTTACACCCCTCCGGCTGCAATCGACCCATGAGAACCGAGTTGGATAGGTGCAGCCACGAGGTGTCTCCATGCACAGCCGCGCATACGAAGCCGACGATCACATGCAAACAGGCTGCTCCGGTGTCGAAAGTGCACAACCTACGGTACCGCCGAGGGTCTTACGCCAAGAAACGCCTGCTCTGCCACAGCCCCCCTCAGCCAGGCTCGACGATTTGATTGCTCGCAACTCAGTGCATTGCTAGAACCGGCCCACGTCGCGGCCAAACAACAGATTGCTGGCCCAGTTGGCAGGAACCAGAAACCTGTTCCTCCAGCTCATGGCCATGATCGTATAAGCGCTTCTCCACAGCAACCATGCCAGGGCACCCTTATCCTTGCCGACGGGCGAGTCGATCAAGGCCTCGTTGCTGCCGATGCTCGCCATGCTACCCTTGTCCTTGAACTTGAACGGCTCTTGTGCGCTCGGATGGGTCGGGCTCGCGTTGAAGACGGCTGCCAGGTAGGAGCCCTTTTGATTGGCCACCTGCGCTGTTGCGGGTAGCGGCGTGGCTTGGGAGCTGCAGTCTCCAATCGCCCAAACATTGGTCATTGGCACCACATCCCCCTCTTGCTTGTCCGGGGCGGGGTGGTGAATGTTTCCCCTGATCTCGCCTTTGTCCCGGGCGGGTTTGTGGACGAGAAGGTTGAGCTTGGCATCAGTGAGCCACTTGTGCGAGCGGTCTTCCTTTGCCACGCCCCTTAGAGCTTTTACAATCGGAGCAGCCGTGATGCCCGTCGACCATACAACCATACCTGCACGCATGAGCTCTGCCCCACCATGCGGATTTTGAACCCAAACGCCTTGGTCGGTAACGCTGTTGATGCGTGCATTCAGCACGACCTCGATCCCATCGCGCGCGAACTTTTGCATGGCATACTCGGCGAGCCCCTTGTCGAAGCTGCTCAGGATGCTCTTGCCTGCATCGAGCAGCTTGATGCTCGCCAACCGCGCCAGATGCGGGTAGATCTTGGTGAGGTCTTGTCGAATGAGGTCGTGCAGTTCGGCTGCAAACTCGGCACCCGTAGGTCCACCACCCACCACTACAAATCCCAACCTCGCCCTGACTTGCTCCTCATCCTCCTTGGACAAAGGCTGCGGGTAGGCGGCATTGGTGCCTTCAAACGCGCTGAGGATTTTCCACCGAATCGCACGTGCATCACTAACGTCCTTGAGGAACAAGGCATTCTCCTTGACTCCCTCGGTTCCATACGTCGCATTGTACGATCCCACCGCCACCACCAAATAATCATACCCTATCGAGTACGTCCTTGCCCTCTCTTGCGCTCTCGTAGGGCTGGTAGGGGTGAGCGGATCGGCAGGTCGAAATTCAGGCTTGCTCGCCGGCGTCACCTCGATCCGCTGCTTACACAGGTCCAGTGCATCACACCATGCATGGTGAAACGCAATCCCCCGTGTAGAATGGATCGGCTCCAGCGCAGAGCGAAAGTCGAGCGTCCCACAACTCGCCTGGGCAAGCAGTGGCGTGAAGGAAAACGACGTCGTGGGCGAAACCACCTTGACGTCCAGCTGCGAAAGCGTCGAGCGCGAAAGCGACTTGAGAAACGCATAACCTCCCCATCCTGTACCCAGCACCACCAGTCGCCGCTTGCCCGCCGTAGCCATCCGGACAATCGTCCCCCTCATCGTTGCCGTTGTAAATATCGCTGATGATGGTGGTGGGAGTGCATGTTCAAAGAGCCATACACAACCCCCGGCTATCGACTTCCGTGAAAGACCCTCGATCCACTCATGTTTCACATCCGCCCCAACCTGTCCATTAATGCAGTCGGCTGCATGTGGAGGTCATCATCCGATCTCCGCGCGCACCCGCCCGCGTCTCGCCGTCTGCCCGACCTCACCCGCCGCCCCCTCTGCACAGGCGCGCGATAGCGGCGATAAGAATTCATTCAGAGGCCATTACAAGTGCTCGCTACTTCTCCTGCAGCTCGATCTCTTCTGCAACTGTGCTTTGCGCCGCCGTCGTCGCGGGCACGGGCTGCGCAAGCACGGGTTGGCCAAAGTGGCTGCGCAGCTGTTCATCCGCCAGCCGATGCACCTCGCGCCCCACGGCGCCCACGACGCTCGCGAGCGGACCCGACAGGTTGAGCCGCCACACGACATACGCCGACGCGACGAGCACGAGCAGAAAGGCAAAGTACACCGGGCTCGAAATCACCGCCATGAACTCGTTCCAGCCCAGCACGGCCAGCACGCCGTACATCCACAGCGGCACCTGCGCGATGCTCGACACGGTCGACCGCTTCGCCTCGACGTAAAGCGCATCGGCCTCCTTGCGGAAGCGCGTGCCGATCTCGGCCTTGCGTGCCTCGCTGAATACGACGAGCGTCTGTGCAAAGTCAAACTCCTCCTCCTCGCCACGGTCTACTGCTCCCTGCAGCTCAGCATCGTCCTCGGTCGACGCCAGCTGCACTGCCACCGCCGGGTCCTTGGGCTCGATGCGCGCATACAGAGGGATGAGCGCCAGCGTCTCGTCGCGCGCCTTGCGGAAGGCACCGTCCATATCGTCTTCGGGCTTCCACACGCGCGGCGTGCCCGCGTCGTCGTACCTGAAGCGGTCCTCGAAGCACCCGCGCAGCCGCGCCGCCAGCACACTGTCCGCCGTCTGCTCATCCACCTTGGCACGCAGACTGAGCCAGCTCTTGCGCCTCAGCGCCGCCAGCGCCGCCGTATTCTCCTCCTCGGTGCAGTTGAAGCTCCTGGCCTTGCGCACGTACGTCGCCTCGGCCTGCTCGAGCGTGCGGCGGAACGCCACCAGCACCTGGTCCCACATCTCGGGCCCGGGCGCGTTGAGCGCCATCTCGACCGGCTCGCCAATGTTCTTCTTGAACGTGCGCTCGATCTGCGCCACCATCTTCTTGGTCTCCTCGACGCGCATCGTATCCGAGATCGCCTGGATCTCGGCATCCAGCTGCGCCACCTCCTCGTCCACGGTCCAGTCCGTCTCGGCCAGCAGCACCGCGTTGGCCGCGGCGCTGAACTTGGCGAGCGCGGTGCGCTTCTCGCTGCTCACCACGTGGCCGAAATCGTAGTTGGGCTCGGTGCGCATGCGGTCGAGCACGCTGCGCTTGAAGTTCTGCAGCATGTGGCGGTGCAGATTCTTGAGCTGGCCCAGGAAGAACGGCGAGAGCGAGCTGTTGAGCTTTTCGAGCAGGTCGACGCGCTTGCGCTTGTACACCTCCTGGTGGTATCGGCTCGCGTCGCGGTCGAAGCTCGCGAGCGCCGTGGAGCGATGCAGCGCCATATCGGCGCCGAGCGTGTCGAGGATGGAGCCGCCTTCGATGTGCTTGCGGAAGTCCTTGATGGAGGTGGCGAAGAGCGCAAACGCAGCGTTGGCGATCTCGTCGCAGCGGAACTGGGCGAGGAGCTCCTGCTGGGTGGGGAGGTCGAGGTCCTTGTTGGTCATGACCTGCTCCCAAATGGACTCGAGGTAGTGCGGCAGGCCGTCGGCGGGGATGCGCTTGTGGTACTCGGTCTTGAAGACAAAGTTGGGGTCCTTGGGGTCGACAAAGCGGGTGCGCAGCGCGTCGACGGCCTTGTCGAATTCGGCTGGCTGGAGCACCTTGTGCGGGAGCGTGGTAAACATGAAGTCGAAGAAGTCGGTGATCTGCGACGCCTCGAGGCCTTCTGGCTTTGCGAGCGAGAGCCAGATCTTGGTGAGATCGGCCATGATGGTGGCCGAGAGGTTCTCGAGCGGTGTGACGCCGATGTGGTCGCGGATGACGAAAAGCAGCAGCGTCTTGTCCTTTGCGCCAGCGGTCTTTGCCTTGCTTGCCTGGAAGAGGCCGAGGTTGACCTCGAACACGGTCTTGAGGAGGCCCATGTTGGCGCCCTGGTAGAGGCCCACCTGGTGTTCCCAGAGGTTGACGATGAGCACCTCTGCCGAAGCCATGGAGAAGAGCGCCGACTTGCGCTCAAAGTCCTGATCCTCGCCGCGTTCCCGGCCGTCGGTGCCCTCGACGTCCATGACGAGGACGTTCATCTTGAGGCCCTTGCACATCCAAATGCCCTTGGTGGTCTGCTGGCGTGCAGTCTCGCTCATGACGTCAAAGTTGGTGCCGAAGAGCTTGTTGAGCAGCGTCGACTTGCCCGTCGACTGCGAGCCGAGCACGGCGCAGAGGTCGTAGCCAAAGCCGGCATCGGCCAGTCCCCATTGGTCGAGGCTGGGTCCAAAGCGGGCGCTGTTGAACTTTTGGTTCTCGTCGATGAGCTGCATGCGTCCTGCTGCGTTGGATGACTGCGACGACGAGACGAGGGTGCTGGCAGGTGCGGCGACAGGAGCGACAGGAGCGACAGCCGGGGCCACTGGGGCAGGGGCTACGGGAGCAGGCGCGACATGGGATGCGGCGCCGTTCGGTGCGCTGGTAGCCGCGGTGATGGGCTCGTCTTGGAGCGCCTGGAGCTGCTGTGCGTGCGCCTGTTGCAGCTCCTGTTCGGACTGGGCGAGGAGCTGCTTGGCGCTGTCGACGTTGAGTTCCATGATGAGCTGCGGGTATCCAGCGGCGGGGTATGGAATCGGGAATCCGGGTGCTAAGGGACGACAGGGCACGGGCACTGGGGTGTGCGGTGCTATGCTGCGGCTGCGACTGTCGATGTCGGCGGCGGATGGCAGATGGCGAGGAGCGGATGAAGCGAGGCAGCGACGGTGGTGTTGGAGCGTTGAGGGCAGCAGAGGTGGAGTCCAGCCGGGACATGTCCGATCGAGTCGAATTGGGCATTCACGCACGTCACTCACTCGCGCCCCTCTCACGCTTTTCCGCCCCGCCTGGCCTCGGTGGCCGCCCCGCCCACATTTGGCACACACACACACACACACACACACAC